TTTTATTATGTATATTGTACATATTATGTATTTATTATGTATTATATATGTATAATATTATTTTGAAGAAAATGATTATCTGAAAGGTAATTAAGAAAAATGAAAATAAAAGGTTTTATTTTACCTTCATTTATTTCTTCTCTAATGCCCCTCATTTCTAACCTATTTTGTTTTCCTTCTCTCGGATAACTTAAATGTTTTCTTTCTTTAGAAAAGAAATTGCATTTCTTGCATAGTAGGTCTACCTGTGACATTTCTTTGTTTGTTATCAAAATATATGTTTGTCTGCAAGTCTTTGTTTCTCCTTTACTTTTGAAGGATAATTTCTCTGGATACAGAATTGTAGGTTGGTGATTATTTTCTTTCAACACTTTCTCACTCCACTCTCGCTTGTGTGGTTTCTTCAGAGAAGTCCAATGTAATTCTTATCCTTGTTCCTCTATCTGGAAGGTGGGTTTTTCCCCTTTGGCTTTTTCAATATTTTTTCTTCGTATGGTTTTCTGCAGTTTGAATATGACATGCTTGGGTGTAAATTTTTGATGTTCTCTGAGCTTTCTGAATCTCGTTTCATGTCTGTCATTAATTTAGGAAAAAACTTCAAATATTTCTTCTGTTCCTTTTTTTATGTCTTCTCCTGATATTCCCAGTATGCCTAAGTTACACCTAGTATGATTGTCCAACAGTTCTTGCATATCTATTCCATATCTGGCATATGCTGTTCCATCTTTTTCATTCTCTTTTCTTTTTGAATTTCAGCTTTGGAAATTTCTCCTGACATATCTTCAAGCTCTCTGATTTTTTCTTCAGCCATGTCCAGTTTCCTGCTGAATCCATCAAAGCCATTCTTTATGTCTCTTACAGTGTTTTTGATTTTTAGTATTTACTTGGGTTCTTTTTTAGTTTTCATCTCTGCTTACATTACCCATGTGGTCTTGCAAGTTGTCCACTTTTTTACATTAGCATCTTTAGCATATTAATCATAGTTGAATCCCCAGTCTGATAATTCCAAAATTTCTGCATATCTGAGTCTGTTTCTGATGTCTGACTTGCCTCTTCAGATTTGAGTTTTTGGGGGTTTGTGGTGGGTGTTGCTGTTTGCCTTTTAGCATGAGTTGTCATTTTTTGTTGGACACTAGACATGATATATCAAGTGGAAAAAACTAAAATACGTAGGCCTTTAGTGTGAGCTTTTATGTTTTTTGCCAAGGAATTAGGCTGTTCCCTGTTGACTACAGCTGTAGTGTCAGAGCTAAAATTTTCTTTAGTGTCCTTTTCCTTCTCCCCTGGTTTTCTTTGAGTGTCCCTAGAGACTCTTAAATGGGGTCTCAGGCTTGCAGTTATTTTGGCTTTGATCTCCTGTTATTACACAGGAACCTAATGATGTGGTAAATTGTGGGGAGGGGAAATGTTCCATCGTCCTCTGATTAGGTCTCAGTCTTTTAGGGAGCCTTATTTCTCTTCCCTCAGATTGGTCAGGCTTTGATGCTCCCCCAGGCTGGTAAAATAGTTTCACTGAGGACATGCCTTATTAAGAAGAACAGAGAGCTCTGAGAATATTCCCAAATGGCTACTTTTTCCCTCCCTCTGTGGGAAGCAAGGGTGAGGTTCACAGTGAGAACCTGGTAGGCCTCCTACTAGTAAAACTCAGGATAGCATGGGAGCCCCTCTGTGATGGGGCCCCTCACAGTTCTTAACTCTCAACTGGCCCACATTGAGCCACCAGCAATTTGTCAATTATAGTTGAAGGTATTCCTATGAGATTGTCTTCAGTGCACTTCTCTTCCTGAGCTTCTGCTCCCAGGAGGTTGTGAACCTCACTATCTGCCTATCTCTCCCATTTTCAGAGCAGAAGTTTGCCCTGTGAGCTCAGTTTTCTGATGGATCTAAGAAGAGTTGATTTGAAATCTGTTCAGCTTTTACCTGTTGTGATGATGGAAGTGATGACTTCCAAACTCTTTACATATTGGACTGGAAACTAGAGTCCAGATGAGTAAACAAATTCAGGTAGTTTAAATACCTCAACCAAGCTGAAAACACTAGTAAGTGGTAGTCCAGGGATTCCCACCTGGTTCTGGGTAGACTAGGGCTTGGAGTAGGGCCCAGCACATGTTTGACAAATGAATCAGTGGCCCCAAGGCCAGGCCAGACCCCTTTCCACTATATCATACCACTGTTATCAAAAGTACAGTGATTAGATGGGGTCTAGGGTTCAGAGAATAAAGAAAATAACCAAATGAAAACTTCCCTCAATAAAAAAAATAAAAGAATGGAACATTCTTAAGGTTATTAGTGAAGAAAACAAAAAATTACTTACATAACAAGGGAAAGAATTGCTATAAAGTAAGCCTAATCAGCACTAGAATACTTTGGTCAAATGTGGACAACTAACTGAGATGTAAGAGGTAAAGAAAGCTCAGACTACCCCATTTCCATTTTTATCAGTTTAGTAAACTGCTTCTAGACAGGTGTTCAGAATATAAAAGTGGTTTACAAGACAGATGCAAAGAGGATCTGGAAAGTGAGGCCTTTGGAGGAAGAGTACTCTGTGTCTAGAGAAGAAGAAGCTGGGGGTCCGTTGAATAGGCCTCCAAGCATATGAAGAGCAGGCCCACCTCTACCATTTATAGAGCACAAGGCCAGAACAATGGAAGCCATGCATCATATGACAGATTGAAAAGTTACAGATCAAGTTAACTGTTAAATATGTTCTGTCATTTACCATAATAAAAATAGTTTTATAACAACATCAAGAACTACATGTAAAATTAAGAATGAAAGTTGGCAAGATATCAAAGACAACAGAATTTACTAATTGTTCCCATGACTGGGTTACCAATTGGTGGGTCTATAATGTTTGAGTGAGTAATAAAATAAAGACACACATAAATTATGCATAATATGTATTCCATATAGTTTATTTTCTTGCATTTATTTCAGCAGAATCATTAATTATATTTTTATTTTTTAAGTTTTTTAATTACATTTTTAAAATCAAGATTTTGATTTATTACATTATCAATAATGATATAAGCTGGATTTTAAAAGAAAATATAAATCTAAAGCATATACAGTTTGAATACATTTTTAGCAAGTGTAAATTAACATAAAAACAAAAATTTAAACTTATTTACATGTCTTAAAAATGAGTTATTTTATTTAGAATTATCTATTATGTCAAAATGAGGAATAAATATAATTAATAAATAACAAAAGTTTAAACTAAGATCATTTAGATAAAGATTAACCTTTTCATTTACTTTTTTGAAATTTAAATTGTTGTGTGTATTTATAAAACTAAAACTATTCATAGTTCTAGGTTTCTGAGTTCATTAAGTGCCTACATAAAAAATCGCTACCATGCTTCGCACATATGCCTAAACTTCATACATTCAAATTTAAGAGTAATTTGAATTGTTTACTATTGCAAAATATTCCTGCTATGTCAAGGGCAACTCTCGTAAATATGGTATCAATTCCTGAGTACCTCTAGAATCACAATTTGGACTAAAAAGAAAGCAAGAGTATGGATGTCCGGCACCACAGAAAAATAACCCTTCATCATATGAAGTTCTACTGCATTTCTGCTATCCAAGAGGAATGATTTTATTCAAATTAATTAGTTTTTTTATCTAAGCATCTTTGTCACTTAAATTCTTTTCATCCTTGAAAGCAGTGTCTGTTACAGCGTAACTGTCCTTCATGTCACTTGGGCTTAGTCACTTTTATTTCACTAACACAGAGCAACAGATGTGAGCTTCTCCCTGGGGCCTGAACAGCGTCAGTCATAAAAGCAGGTGTTTAGGGTTAAGAGCACTGCTGGGCCAGAGTAGAGAGCCGGCGGCAGAGACACCTGTGTGTTCTTCAGTACATTTATGTTTTGTGTGTTTGTAATGTATGAACTCTCTAAAAGAGGTGGGCTCAGGGTGGAGGTCCTGCTTTCCAAGGTTTTCTTAAAGGGAAAAAAAACAAAAACTGTCCCAAATCATCTCCATTACGGATAGGCCTCCCATAGGAGGAGACACATATGATTTTATCTAGTCTGACCATTTTATTTACAGTATTTAGTACTTTAGTACTTTGTACTTTAGTAGATTTAGTACTTTACTTCTTTAATTTATTTGCCTTTTTACCATGCATGAAGAGTGTTCATTTCTGTCCTCAGGCAAATGTGGCTTCTCTGGCTACTGAGTAAAAGAATGCTTTTGCCCTCTAAACTCCTGTAGCATTCCTTTGAATGCTACAACACTGTGGTACTTAGCACAGTATATCACCTTTCCCATTTCATTCATGCAGTCAACAAATCTTTATTTTTTACAAAACAAAGTACCTACTCCTATGAAGCTTATACGTTCATGTGGGACACAAAATAAATAAACATGTAATATCAAGGAGTGGTAATTAAGAAGATAGAGGCCAGTTGAGGTGACAGAAAGTTTCAGGAGTGCTATTTTGTATATACAGGTAGTCTGGGAAGGCCTCTTTGAACAGAGATGTCATAAAAGGAGGGAATGAGCCATGGAAATAAGTGGAGATAAGGCTGTCTAGGTGGAAGCATCTGTAAGTATAAAGACTAGAGGAAATGTGTCCAGTAAACAAGTGTTGCTAAAGAACACTAAATGAGGGGAAATGTAGAGGCCAATAAGCCACGTCAGAGAAGGACCCAAAAGCACAACTATGTGGGGGCCTTATAGGTCAAGGTAAAAAATACAGATTGTGAGTTCCTTGAAGAACTGGTCTGGTCTTTGCATTGCTCAGAGGTTTTTAATAGTACCACCCATAGCTATGGCAAGCCATGTGTCTAAGGAAGCTTCAGTATGTCTGGCTTTCAAATGATAAAAATTAACTGCCAATTTTGTCTTATTTGAGGATATGATGGGAAATTTGAAGTACGGTTAGATATCTATCTATAAATTTAATATGATATAAGTTATAATAAAATAATAATAACAATACAAAGTCAATAAGATCTCTGTGGTAATCTTTGATCTTTTTCTTCCCAGGATTTCCAAACTGTATTACCATCATTTGATCTCTTCTCAAAGTACGGAAAATTATATTCAAAAGCTGGACAAATTATCTAAAGGTATGCATTTTTGCTAAGAAGTACTTCAAAAAGTATATTAAAAACATTTTAAAAAATCAAATGAGATTGACTTTAACTTTTTAGCATTTTTAAAACCATGATATAATATATATATATAATAAAACTCCATTTTTCATTCTAATTTAATGGTTTTTAACATTCAGAAATCATGGATTTTATTTTTCAAAGCTCTTCTCCAAAATAGACTCAAAATACATTAAGAAGTAGGATTGACAAAAATCTGAAGTAATCTTTTTCTTTAAGTTAATTAATACAATAAAAGTTTTACATAATGCCATGAAAAAATATTGGTAGTGTCCAAAAGCTAAAATAGTTTAAAATAACTACTTTCAGTATGTGTGTTATTTGAAGTATGAGTTGTCTTTAGGGGATTCCAAATAAAGAGTGCCAAGGATCTCTGATTATCAAAGTTTACAGTATAGAGAAGAACAGAGATACCAACATAAACTTCAAGATCACAAAATGAGCTCTCAGTGAAAACTGTTTAATTGTTGAGTTTTAGAATAGGAAGTGATTATAATCAAAGTAAGACTAATAGGTATTCTGGCACTTTCAGCCTAATATAAAGGAGGTATCGGATGAAGACAGCAAAGATCACTGTGGTTGACGGAAAAGAGGCAGGAATTCAAAATCACACTGGGTGGAAGTCCCCCGGTGTCCTCCCACACCAGGAAGCGAGGGAAAAGCACTGGTCCATTGGAAAGAGCACAGAGTAGATTCAAGCAACTTAGGTTTGTTCTGTAGATTTAGTGTTAGTGTCACTTCTCCCCCACTTACAACTTTGGATGCTTCAACTCAAAAATCAGTGTGTTAAATGTAGATAGTAGTATCTACCTCTTAACTACTCCAAAGGAATATTGGAAGGGAAATATGAAATATTCTGAGCTAATAGAAAAACATAGTGCCAAGCGGAATTGCGGTTTCAAAGGTTTATAAAGTACCATTACATATGGGAACATTTATCTAGTATTTGTGATTCACCGTATGCAGTAGTGGAAATAAAATTTTTCGTATTTGTGTATGACTTCAGATATTAGTTCAAAGATATAGTGGAAGAAATCAGAGAGGGAGACAAACCATGAGACTCTGGACTCCAGGAAACAAACTGAGGGTTACAGAGGGGAGGAAGGTGAGGGGATGGGGTAGCCTGGTGATGGGCATTAAGGAGGGCACGTGTAGGGATGAGCACTGGGTGTTATACACAACTAATGAATTGTTGAACACTACATCAAAAGATGATGTACTATATGTCGGCTAATTGAACATAATAAAAAGAAAAGATACAGCCTGTTTATAATGGTGAAAGGTTGAAAACAATGTGTATACTCAGTATATGGTAAGTTAAATAAATAAGACATAAATGCAATACTATGAAGACATTAAAAATGCTAACATAGATCTTTACCTATTAATTTGAAAAAATGCCTGTATTTCTAAGAAAAGAAGGCTGGATTCAAAAGAACTTGTGTAGTATGAATCCTTTAAAAAAGGTGTGTGTGTGTGTGTGTGTACACATATATAATGTGTGTGTATGTATAAAAACACTTGCATGCACTGACTTGTGTATTACGTGTATATGTATACGTTCTTATAAGGCAAAATGTTAATGATAGTTATCTCTAGATAGTGAGATTATGATTGCCTTACCTTTTCGGGTGATAGTTCTTTGTGGTCTCATTTTATAAAATTTATATCAAATCAGACAAAAGCAAAGTGTTAAAATACTCCAGTAGGGACTAATTGCTCTTCTCTACCAATTACAAAAACATCTTGACTTTATTCTATTCAATCATAATAATTTAGAGACAATTATCTTTTTTTTCTAAAGACAAAATAATTACTTGCTAAATTATTTATAAAGAAGACAAGGATGAGTAACAAATGTTTCACATTACTTTTAATTAAAAAGTGTGCACAATGCACAGATATGTGACAGAAATATGTGATAGAAATTTTTAAAAATGTTTGCTAATGCTTCCCTTGGATTTTTAACTATTTTGTAAATTGAAAATATTATCAAAATGTCATCTCCTCTTCTTGGAAAGGAAATTAATGTCTAGTGTTTAATTTTGGTAAGTGAAGGGTAGCAGCCTTAGCTGAAGCTCTCCTATTAAGATTTAATTTCACCAAATACAACAGAGTGCTCCTGTTCTTTGTAAAGAAGGCCAAGACAGGAACACTTACACCAAAGTGTTGAATAAAGATGCCATAGTAATTTTTAGAGCTATCTATTTGATTGCTTCAGCTTCAAGGTAGTTCATCACTTCACTATAATTCACCCTACATTGCCTCTTACCCCCATACTACGTTTTCCCATCAGTCCAATTAGAATAGTGATGCCTTTACCAGATTAATCTTTCTTTCCTTAGCATGTCTGCGTTTCGGATAAACAGAGCCTACACTACCCATCTTGATAAATACACTAAGATTTCTGCTACTGAAATTGCTGAGAGTGAATTAGATTTTAAACACACGCATATTTTAAAATCTATTCTCTGACTAGAATATGACTCCTTTTAATTTCTTTAATTTTCCTTTGTAACTGGTCGTTTTTGTAACCTTTGATAGTTTTCCTAAAGGCAGCTTGGTTGAAATGAGATTATACTATGTTGCATCAAGGGTATGAATTGTTTTGCTGTCTTTTTAGTTACATTCATCTTTCCAGGCAGAAGAGTCCCTTTAAGGATTTGAGTGAAGAAAACTTAGCAAAATGAGGTGAAAGCATTGGTTAATCTGACATCAATGTGAGTTTTCTTGCATTATGTGCTCCTTGAGTTTTTCGCATTCTTCTTTGTGATGGGCCTTGGTCCAGGCTGTCTTTCTGCTAAAATGTGGTTCAATTTTGAGACCAGATGAGTTAAGTTTTAATTAAATTATGCATGAAAACCAGTGTACTCCCCCGCCTTTTCATGGCTTATAAATGACTCAAATAGCTGAGAAAAAAATTAAAATGAAACGTAAGTTTAGTTAGCACCTGAATTAGGGAACAGGTGAAATTCTATTGTCTTTTCTCCAGAAGAAATAAGGTCTTAGCAATTGTGTAAGGAAAAAGAAGTTGTGTGAGGAGAAAGTAATAATCAAGCATATAAGCTATATATACGCCTGTTGGGGGTTAATTTTTTAATTCAACAAGAGAAATAATTTAAACCTTGTCACTCAGTTTGACACTATGTGAATTTATAACCCTTTCCAATTTAGTCATAATGAATTGGCAAAAAAAATGAAACAAAACCCAAGATTTCTTTAGTATCTTTTTCTTGACTCTGTGGTCCTTTGAATAAAGATGATATAAGAACCCACTTGCCTATAGGAAGACATTCTGCTGTGTTTCTCCATGACTGAGGCAGGTGGGCTGAGCATTCCATGTGTCTAATGGCACACACGATCAGCTTTGGTTACCAACATCTGCAGTGGTGTAAACAGAGATTAGAGAATAAGGTAATTCCAGCAGACATAAGTCAAATCACAGTGTAGCCTCCCAGACTTTTAACTGAGCTAACTCTAAGTGAGGAAGATATAAATAGAGAATTTGAGAACTCATGTTCCTGGGTTCTTTTTCTTCTTTCATTGTACTCTTTTGTTTTTAGAAAATAAAAGAAGACAAAATGTAAAAATGAGGTTAAGGTATGAAGTGAGTGTGGAATAGAAGACCCCCACTGCCTAGAATCCTGGATTCTACTTCTGTGGCTATTGAGTAACCTTGACACAAGTCTCTTAACCTCTGAAGTGTTTCTCTCTCTCTCTCTCTCTCTCTCCCTTGCCCCCTCTTTCTCTCTCATTTGTCCAAAGGAGAAATCGGAAACATCTTTTGTTCATTCAAATATTCTAGTTCTAAAAGTAAAATAAAAATGTATCCTACAGAAAATACACTTAAACCACACTTCTTAAAGTGATTCAATAAACTATAATACTTTATATCCAACTGCTCATAAATTAATTACAGTGTGTACCTATGTACACATAGTATATGGATAGTGGGTCTTTTCCCTCTGAGAATGTCTGTCACAACCACAGCCTCTGGTGATCAAAAGTGCCATAAATGGCTCCACTGAAGTGGCCATATTCTGACCCCATCACCCTAGTCACAACTGATGAGACCAGTTTGGGTACCCAAGTTAAGGGCAACCAACATGTAAGTGTGAATGATGAATGGTTTGAAATATGAATGGTATGAAGTGGTTTCGTGTGAGAGCTCTAGCCTTAGGAAAAATAGGGACCCATCAGACCAATTAGAACTCCTTCAGGACGTTGAACTTGCAACACACAGACAAGACCAATGGGTGTGGGACCAGAAACATGGGCTCCCTCAAATAGAGAAGACATTTGCGGGTCTCTGTTGCAAAGAGAGTGAAAAGGTAATCTAGTACTAGGGTTGTACCTAGTACATTGTATTCACTTACTTAGTGGCTTCTGAATGAAAAACAAGTATCTGACTGGTTAAATTGTGAAATTTTAGAGTACACCTTCTCACCCTTTGAATCTTTCATAGCATTTAGCAGTCTATTAGGTATTTTGTAGGTGCTGAATGAATATTTATTGATTCTGGCTTCAGCACAAACTTGGAAGACAATTGGCTGGTATTAGAAAGAGTCTGAACATTGCCCACTTCAAAGCTATGTGGCAAGTCTTATGATTCAGTCCATAACCTTGCCCTTGTCTGTATGATAGTCTAAGCTGGAATTTTAAAACTGTTTAATATAATGAGGCATTATGCAAGGAATTATTATTTGTGAAGTTTTATAGGAAACAGATTCACTTTTAAAACAGTTAACATTAATTTAGAGCCAAATTTGGTGGGGCATCTGGGTGGCTCAGTCGGTTAAAACTCTGCCTTTGGCTCAGGTCATGATCCCAGGGTCCTGGGATGGAGCCCCAGTGGGCTCCCTGCTCAGTGGGGAGCCTGCTTCTCCCTCTCCCTCTGCCCATCCCCACCTCAATTATAACTGAGGAAAGCAATCTGTTTCATCTGGAAAACTACTTAGCTACATCAACTTATATAAAATCTCCTTCTACATTCCCAATACGAGCCACTCAAGAAAGTTAAACATAATGTCTGACTAAAACTAAGTGATAACTTGATTACCCATCTTTTTTACCAAACTCAATTCTGAATGAATGTTGATCCCCATTAAAAACATGAAGAACACTGTGGATGTTTAAAGGAATACTCCTTGAGGACATTCAGAGTTGGATCTCCAGTTCTTCTGAAATCAAAATACTCATCAACTTTCTTATAGTTAATCAAGTAATGTCTTTCTCTCGCCCCCTCCGCCCACCTATCTCTAATTTCTTTGAGGACAAATAACTGTCTCTCATGATAAATGCCCTCTATCCAACATCTAGCAGAGCACCTGGCACAGAGTAAAATATCTGTTGTATAAATGTTGTTAAGGAAGTTCCAAAAATAATGCCTATAATGACACCATTGCTCATTTGAATGCATGCTTTGTGGAATGTTATTTCTAACTAGTCTCATTTATAGTTATGTTGTATATGATTTTGGATACACATTTGGATATACACTAAGTTGGTTGATCCTGAGGTCAAGTTATGATTGATGCTTGGGTAAAGTGTTCCTTCTGGGAAATAATCTTTCATATCTGTAAATTAGTAATTATCCTTATTTATATAATATAGTATTATGGTTGTAAAGTCAAGTTTGCATTCTTTTCTTTTTTATTTTTTTTTAAAGATTTTATTTATTTATTTGAGAGAGAGAGAAAGAGAGAGCACAAGCAGGGGGAGAAGGAGAGGGAGCTGGGAGCCTGACATGGGGCTCGATCTCAGGACCTGGAGATCATGACTTGAGCCTAAGGCAGATGCTTACCCATCTGAGCCACCCAGGTGCCCCAAGATTGCATTCTTATCTTAGGGAAGTCCTGAATCTTTCTTACCGATTGTATCCCCTTTTTATTGTGGTCGCCCACATTTATGACCTACCTCTCACATCCACATAGTGTCCATTTATGTGCTAATTTTACCTTCAGTCACATTTTTTTCCTCCAGTTCTTTTAACTTTGCCCTGATGTTCTCTTCCATCTTACTTTTTTCCTCTTGTAAAATGGCTCAAACAAAGTGGGATGTTAATAAAATCACAAAATTATATGTGGAACTTGTCTAAGATCATAATGATGACTAAAAGCAGCAGAATTGCTGAGCTAGTAGAGCTCACTTGATCCAAGTTCCAGATTATAAAAAACCATTACAGAGGGCTGCCTGTCTGGCTCAGTCGTAAGACCATGTGATTCTTGACCTCCAGGTGGTGAGTTCAAGCCCCATGTTGGGTGTAGAGAATATTTAAAATAATATTTTTTAAAAAACTACATAAAACATCAGAATAAAATTTTGTTGAAAAATGAGTGAGTGAGTGAACATAGTTTGGGTTGGTCTTTGTTCCATGAATTAAATTCTAGTTAGCATCTGTCTTTAAACTTATCTAAAACCACAACTCATTCCATCTTTTGTGTTACATCTTTAATGATAAACTTCCTAACTCTTCTACAATAAGCGAACTCTTATTTACCACTGCCAATGAAAGATTCTAAATGAGAGAAATGGCATTAATTTAGACTGAAAATGTAACTGATTATTTGTTGTATCCTACAAAAAGCACACAATACCAAAACACTTATCTGTCCTCCCATTTTATAATTCAAAACATTCTCCTATGAGAATAGAATGAAATCCCAGCTTGGTCTGTGGCTTATGCTTGGCTTACTCCTTTTGGAGCTCAGTGTCCCCAGCAGGCTCCCTCACAGGGCGTAGTAGGGTGTTGCTAAGTACTCTTTCATGTCTAAACACTTCAACTCATTGAGGAGGAAATCACCTTGCTTCTGGTACTAGCAGATACAGTCATTTATCAGTACACTGAGTTTATAGTTCTCAGACTTGTATTTATGATTGTGAAATGCAGCTCATTAGCACACTGTGGCATTAAGCAGTCCTTGCTACAGGTGTCTGTACATTAAGGAATCCTGATATTAAGAAATGATGAAACTATGCATACTGGTTGGAATAAATCAGTGAAGCAAATAGAAGGGAAACATACAGTGTGTGTTTAATGTTAACTTGAGAAGTTAATTTGCTGCCATACAGGGAGACTGTAAGACCCTACAAACTGTAAGTGAAGCCCAAGATCCTATAATGAAATCTAATAATGATTATTTGGTAGGCTTGCTTTGTTCCATAGTTAACCTATTTTTCAGCTCGAAAGTAGTCTGTGCTACTTAATATATTTTAAGGCATTTATATTTAATTCCAAACTACAACTACCTAGCAGAAATTAATTTTCACACCTCTCAATGTGAAAATAATCCAACTGAATGAAAGATAAGTAAAAATATAGTTCTTAAAAAATGTAGTCCTTCACTCATACTTACTATTATAAACTAATAATATCACTGACTGGGAGAAGAGAACACATACAAGATCATTTTGTGATTTTTATAGCCTAAATAGTTTACTCATTCTTTTGAAACCTGGATTCTCTGCTTAACAAGGATTCAATATGGAACCTTTTATTTTTGAGTGTTACTTTATTACAAGTCATGTGAGTACAGAAATTTTTTGGTATACAGAAAATGAAATTGCTACCCTCAGCGGGTTACATTCAGTTGACATGACGAATCTGAGGAGTAACTAAAAATGAAGAGTGGTTATTTAGTATAAGATATACTTTTTAATTTACTACATGCCTAAAATGTGAGAAAATTGGATTAAAGTGGGATGGGAATAGTTAAGAACA